GCAACACCACTGGGTCGGCGGGGAAATGACGACGGTGGGCCAACGGGCGGGGCGCAATCTATTACGACGACGGTGGAGGGCGATGGGGGCGGGGAGCGTGGAAACGGCCGAGCGTTCCAAGAATGCAAGTGGCGAGGAGAGAAGTGAACAGGGTGGGGTGAGGGCACGGGGGCGCCAATCCACCTCCTGCCCATGCAGCCTGGGACGGTGGCGCTGAATAGCCGACAGGCCACCAGAATGCAGTGCGTACCATGGTACCATGATGCGCCCAATCGCCCTGCCACGCGCGCTCCCCCCCGCCCCCCTCTCGACCTGCAGCGCGCCTGAAATTCAACCCGTGCTTCTGAAATCCGTGTGGTGCAACTCCTTCGGTGCTGACGTCCTCCCATCCCCCAACAGCACCACCCTCTCCCCCTGTCTCGTCGTAGTCGAAACATCCAAGGTGCCCCTTTCCACCTCCCCCCGAACCTCCACCACCGCCTTTAGCTGCAAAAACGCAGTCCTCGGACGCGTCCAATTGCACTGCAGCGATCCCGTCCAGCTGCAGGAGCCACTGGCGCATCTGGCCGAGGACAACCTCATCGCGGACGAGCTTGAAGTGGCCCTCCCCAGCTCTCAACTGGAGGGCCATCCGCCCCCGCCTGAGCCCAAAATGGGCTACCGAGATCAGCGTGTGAGCGGTTGCCGAAACCCGCTTCCGATAATCCGATAGCCTCGCCGATCGGGGGCCAGTGTAACGGGCCGAATGCGAGACGAGAAACAGGGGAACGCAGCGAAATGTAACCTGAAATCCACGGGGCGACATGGCCAGGTAAGCTCCGCCGATCTGGATAACGGGGGGCCCACCAATCTATATCACGTGCAGGTCAATGCAACTCACCTTCAGGAGCTGGTGTGTGCTGGGGGGCGCACCACGCGCTAAGCGGGGCGAAAGGCCACGCGCTGGGTGCAACAAGTCTGGTGTCACGAGACTCGACTATGCCCAAACGCCCCTGCCAAGTCTGATGCGGGATCGCCGCTCAACCGATGCAACGTCACTTGTGTTTTCAACGCGCTTTCCCCATGGGCCGAGCTGTCACAGCGCCGCATAGTCCAAGGCACAACGCTCGGCCCCACTGCGCATTGCAGAACGTAGCAGCCTCATGGGTGCGAGGGCAACCCTGTGGATGTTAAAGCTGATCGTGCACGACGGCCTGAAGCCGCGATCCCACCCCGAGCCCCCGTGCGACCCCTCCCAATACCAGACACCGTTCCCAAACCTGCCTCAACTCCTCCCCCCCCCCCCATTCCCACCCACGAGTCCCCTCCTAGTTGCTGGATCGGGCGGCCTTCGGCGCGCTGCCCCGAAACAGAAACTGCAACGCTATGTAAATCAATGGCGTCTTAGTCATCATCATCATCGTTGGGGTTCTATCCAGCGGGCGCCCTCGCTCCCAATGGCCATGCACAAGATTATCCAAACCCGCTGCCTCGATACTCTGGGCAACGGGCGCCGCGCTTCGCAAACTGCCTGCCTCAACCGATCACCGTACGGTGGGAGGGCCATCGCATGGCATGCGCCCAAATACATGCCTCATACTGGCCCCCCCCCCCGATCGCAGGCACCCCAGGCGCGAGCGGAGATCACGATCATCTACTCAAGCCGCAGCGGCGGGGGCGCCAGGGGGAGCCAGCACGGCGGGGGCGGTCAACTGGCCAACCTTGGAAGAGCGCTTCCTGCGCGCTGCAGAGGCGGTCGCGAGGTCGACCACGATCTCCGACTCGGCCTTCCGCTTGTTCTGCTTGTTCAGGAAGTCCACCTTGCCCGCCTCCGCCGCCGCGCTCACGGCCTTCTTGCTGGTGGCGTTCTCCCTGAAGAGCTTCGTGACCAGGATCTTGTTGCCGAGAATGAAGACGCTCGCCGCGGCCCTCGAGTAGTTGTGCTCGATGACTTTGTCTGCGCGCGGGGCGTCGCGCGCGGGGGGGGGGGGGGGGGGGGGGGGGGGGGGGGCAAACGACGGGGCAGCGCGTGGGAACGGGCAGTGCGTAAGGCGCCCCCACGCCCCCCTCTCCAGGCGCCGCACTGCGCTTCAAGATAATTCGAGATACCTCAGAACACCGATATCAACATAGCTCAACGCGCATCAACGAAGCCCATTCCTCAACGCACCCGAGCGGGACCCTACTACATCTTGAGGTACCCCATCCTGCCTCAAGATCCCACAACATTGGCCCAAGTAGCCCCATGTGCCCCCAAAATTCCAAACTCCGTCTCAATATAACCAAAGGTGGTGACAATAACTGCTCCTCAACCCCTCGCGGCGACGACGACGGCGACGGCGACAACAACGACGACGACGACGAGGGCGACGACGACGGCGACGGCGACGGCCCTCGCGGTGCTATCAGTCAAACCCCTGTCCGCTTTTGGAGGGCATGGCTGGGCCCGTCGCCGCCGCGGTCGTCGTCGCCGCCGCCGCCGTCGCCGTCGTCGCCATCGCAGTCGTCGTCGCCGTCGCCGCTACACTTGCACTCAACTGCGCTGCCCCATGACACGACCTCCGCTCCTCCCCCGCCCACCGCCCTCCGCCATCCACATGCGCGAACATGCCCCCCCCCCCCCCCCCCCCTCCCCCCCCCCCCCCCCCCCCCCCCCCCCCATTCGTTTCCCAACAACCCACTGAGGCCTAACTGACCATGCCCGACCCTGCCCTTCCCCCACATTCACCTCCCCTCCAATCCTAAACATCCCACCCCAAACCTCCCATGGAGGAGAGGGCGAAGAGGGCCTGCCGCGATCGGGTCCTCCAGCCTGTGGATCTTGTTGCTGAGCAGGTCCTTGATGGCGACGCCCTGCAAGGGCGGGGCGGGCGGGGGTGGGGAGGCGCGACATCGCCGACAGTCGCCGTCGTCGCCGCCGTCGGGCGTCGTCGTCGTCGTCGCCGCCGCCGCCGCCGCTGTCGTCGTCGGATTCGCCGTCGCCCCGATACCTCTGGTCCCCATCCACCCCCGTCCTCCTCCAGCCTCCGCCTCCGACGCTACAGCTCGCTTACACCCGAGGCGGGGCGCCTTGTTATTGTCCTCGTCGTCGTCGTCCACGGCGTCCGAGCCGCCAGCCGCGCCACTCAGGATCTGGTAGACGCAGTGCGGCGGCTTGAACACCACGCCGTTCGCGGTGCTCACCGCGTCAGTGAAGAACCCGTTGCCAGTGTTCAGGGTGTTGCGGTTCTTGATGTTCTCCAAGAGCCACCGCGCGCAAGTGTCCTTCTCCAAGAGGTCGCCACTGATGGCGAGCGTCACGGGCAGCCCTGGCGGGCGTCGCGGGGGCGAGTGAGGGTTCGGGGAAAAGAGAGGAGGAGTATCTGAGGGTGGGATGGCGAAACTAGTGGAGGAGGTGAGGATGATGATGAGGAAGGGAGGCCATGGAAATGGAGACGGGGATAAGCGGAAGAGAGGAGGTTGAAATGCGGAAGAGGAGGGGACGGGGCGATGGGGGGAATGCGCACGCGGGAAGAAGAGGTGACGAGACGAGGAGAAGGCGACGGCGGAAAGAGGGGAAGAACGAATTCGAGGATGGCGAGGGCCGAACGATGGGAAGGGACGGGTATATGGCCGCCCCCCCCCCGTCACCGCCACATACCTCCTCCTCCCTCTGCTGCTGGCCCTCTCCATCACATACATCATCACTCCTCCCCCCTCATCCGCACTCTGCCTACCCACTCCTCATCATCCCCCCTCCCTCGGCGGGGCCTGTGATCCAGTGCAGCACTGCACGGTAGACCACCATGCCGTTGTTCGTGCACACGTCGATCGCTGACTGAGGGATCTCCTTGCCCTCCGCAGCGGCCTTCTTGAAGACCGTGAAAACCCAGCACATCGGAATATCGTCGAGCTTCTTCACCTTAGCTGCGGCGAAGAACGGCTCGGAATTCAGCAAGGCCAACTCGTGGCCCTGCTTCTTGGCCTTGCTGCCCTTGTCGGGCGACTCGATGTCCTTCAGCGGGCGCTTGACGATCAGCGAGATGGGGTCCACCTTGCGAGTCTCCTCGCGCGGCGGAGGGAGGGCGGCGGTGAGGCTGCGGGGATTGGTGGAGGTTGATCGGGAGGGCGAGGGCGGGGAGGGCCAGGAATACCAGCAGGGTGACGCGAGGATCGGGATCATGAAGCTGAGGAGGGGAACGAGGGGAATAGGGGGGAGGCTTAGCGAGAGGAGGAGGATGATGAGGATGATGGCAGTGACGATGCCGTCCAAAGCGGTGACGGCGACGATGACGATGACGATGCGATGGCGATTATATCGGCGATGACGATAACGATGATAACGATACTGATGACGATGACGACGACGACGATGGCGATGATGATGGCCACGACGATGGTAATGATGATAACCGCCATGGCGACGCCACGGCGACGATAATGAAGATGACGGCGAAGACGGCGACGTCCTCCAGATCCCACCCGTCAACGGTGCGCGCGGTGACGACGCCGCAGACGACGAGGATGATGGCGACGCTGCCGACGACGATGACGACGACGATGGCGGTGGCGACGACGTCGGCGAGGAGGATTAGGAGCCCTAGGAGGGCGGGGGCGGGTGTGGGGGAATCGCCGTCTGCATGACATCCCTCGCCGTCACCATCCTCTCCGTCTTCATGTCGTCCCTGGCCTCCTGGTCCGCTGTGCCCCCCTCCCTCCCCCTCCCCACGCCCTCCCATATCCCCTCTACCCCCGACTCCCCTGCCCCCCTGGCGGTCCTGCATCAAGGACTTCACGATGTCGGCAAGCTTCTCGGCCAGCTTCAGGCTCAACTCGGCGCTCATGCCGTCGGCCTTGACCTCCTCGGGCCGGTGGGCGCGGGGGGGGGGGGTGGCCGAGCCCCTCCTCGTCCTCACAGCAGAATCTCCCACCATCTCACCTTTCACCTCCCTACCTCCGTTCCCCCCACAGCCCCCCATCCTCCCCTCCACCTCTCTCCACCCCTCTCCCGCACCACTACCCCTGCGAAAGGAAAGGGTCTCCTGATGCAGCAACAGCTTGCACAGGAACCGAATCTCGAGGGCCACCGCGGCGCGCTTGGGCGCCATGGCGTCGGTGGCGCTGGCCACTCTGAGGACGGCGCGGCCGCCCGCGCAGATGATGACAGCGCGGGCTCGGGCAAATAATTGCCCGAGGCACAAGGAAGCAGGGAGGAGGAGAAGGGGGGGAGCAAGGTTCGGAGGGATGGACAAGGAGGAAAATAAGGGAGAGGGAAGGCCGCAGGACGAGGACGACGACCTTCAACCCCATTGCTTCGCTATTCCGCCCCTGTCGTCTCCTCCTCCTCCATCCCTCCCCCTTCCTTCTTTCCCGTCATCTTTGTTTTCGTGTGACACGCGGAATGGTCGCCATGCCCTCCCCCCTTGTGCTCTGACGGCGCTGGGCGGCGGAAGACCCCCAGGGGGGGTCCCGAACGGGGTCGGGGGTTGCATTTCCTGCGATGATTCATTCTGCCACTCGACGGGCCCATGTAACCCGTGCTCCTGGGCAACATTGAAAATTAGGTCCAGGCGCCTCGCGCGCTGATCGGGGTTTCTTAGCATGTCTGCTTTGGTGGCCAGCACGAGTGTCGCAGGTGCTACCGCCGCACCGAACGCCCTGAACAGCTTCTCGAGTGTACTGCGCAGCTGCATTGCGTCATTGGCGAGGCTCTCGAACACGAGGAACTTCACGTGTGTGACGCCAGACGCTGCCAGGGCCAGCGCCACACGGCGACCGGCCTCGTCGTCACTGAACCGCAGCATCGTGTCATCGATGCCGGGTGCGTCCAGCATCAGGCCGAGCTCGGTGTCGATCACAGCCGGGAACTGAGTCACAGACTCTCCTGCACCGTCGCCGGTGGCCGGCATTGCCTGGCCTGGTCTCATGATGTGTCCGATTGTCGTGGACTTGCCCGATTGCGTCCGGCCGTGTGCAACAATAGCGCACAGCATAGCAGGTATGAGACCTGAGAGACGCTGTGAAGGGGGCTGACAAGGGTTGACAGGAGTCTCCAGAATGTAAGCCTGGCTACAAGCTGCTGCAGATGATGGATCTGGAGCCTCAGAGCGATGGATGGTGAAGCATGCAAGAGCGTTCTCATATCCAGCAATGGCAACCGTCGGCCAAAATTCATATCCGCGAGTGTCCTGCTCCAGCGAACATTTGACCATGTTGATCCCTCAATAGTAACCTCAGAAAGAAAAGAGTCACGATCAGGAAATTCAGAACGCACGCTGGCGATTACCCTTCCCTCTCTGCGCCCCCCCGCTTGAGGTTATCGAAAAGGGGAGGGGAAACCCTCTTCCACTCCCAATCTGTTCACCGCATACCTGTGAGGCCCTAGGGGCGGTCTCGGCGAAATGACCTCGGCCAAAAAATCAGCCTCCACCCCCTGCTCAACCGTCCTCAGTGTCCTCCTCCCCTCAACTTCCTCTCCTCCTCCTCGTCCTCCTTCATCCCTCATCCCCCCCTCCGCATCCTCACACCCCTCCCTTGCCTCAGCCTCATCCTCCGATGACGACAGCGAAAACGACGGCGACGACGACAGACGTCATTCGACGACGTAGACCACCACCATCACCGACGACCACAGGCGACGCCCGGCACCAGCGGCGACGACCACAGGCGACGACCAGGCGACATGACGACGATCGACCTGGACTGGCGACGACGACGTCGTTGACCGAAGAGGACCGGCAACGACCAGCAACGACCGACCAGGACCGACGACGATATCGACGACCGACAAAGAACGACACGGTCTGGCAACGGTGATGGTTATGGTAGCGATGGTGATGACGAATCTGGTAACGATACTGATGGTAGCGGTGGTGCTGGCGATACTGGTGTAATGGTAGCGGTGGTGCTGGCGATGATGATGGTGACGATGATGATGATGATGATGATGATGATGATGATCATCATGATGAGGATGAGAGGAGGAGGAGAAGAAGGATGAGGATGAGGATGAGGATGAGGGTGAGGATAATGATGATGATGATGATGAAGATGATGATGATGATGATGATGATGATGATCATCATGGTGATGATACTGATGATGATGATGATGATGATGATGATGATGACGAGGACGAGGATGATGATTATGATGATGACGACGACGATGATTACGATGGTGCTGACAATGATGATGATGACGATGGCGCTGATGATGACGATGATGATGACGATGATGAATATGACGATGATGATGATGATGATGATGACGATGGGGATGATGATGATGATGATGATGATGATGATGATGATTATGATGAAGACGATGATCATAATGATGCTGATGATGAACAAGATGATGAAGATGATGATCATTGCATTGTGATGGTGACGATGGTGATGGTGGTGACGATGGTGGTTAGATCGACGACGACGAGAACTGACGATGGTGACGACGACGACGCCGACGACGACCGGCGACGACCCGCGGCAGGAGGCGGCGGCGTCCTCGCACTGCAGGCTGTCGCCCTCCCTCTCGTCGGGCGCCAGGCCGTCCTGCGCGCGCCCCGGGGCTGGGCGGTCCGCACAAGGGTTAAGTCGGGCGTGTCCCCCATACATGGAGATTTCCAATGAAAAAAATACCCAACAAATACTCCCAAATAGTCAAAAACAATATTGAAAAAATAGTCCCCAGGCTATTTTTTACTAGTCTTGAAGATGCCTCCTGTAGAGGGACAGGCCCGACCTAACACAAGGGGGTGGAGGGAGGGGGCAGGGCTTCTTAGGAGGAGGCTGCCTCTAAGGCGGCGCCGGCCCCGCGCCTTCGAAGGAGCACGGGTGCTTCTCAGAGGCCCCGCCCCCTCCCCCCGCCCCCTCTGCGCGTGGCTGGAGGGCCTGGCCGTCGCTCGGACGTCAATGCCCCGTGCCGTCGCTCGGGCGTTCATGCCCCGCTCCATGCCCCGTCGCTCGGACGTCTAGGAGGGCTTCTCAGGAGGCTGCTTCTCAGAAGGCGCCGGGCCTTGCATCTATAGAGAAGGCCCGCGCCTTCTAGGAAGCATGGGTGCATCTAAGAGGCCCCCCACCTCCCCCCACCGCCCTCTGCGCGTGGCTGACACTCCACGTAGCTCGTACGTCCCTTCCAGCCCCCGTGCAATCCTCAGACGCGTCGCGCGCGTTCTGCTTCTGTTGCTCGGTGATCAAGGAGGTGCTCCTCGAGGATCCTCGCCCAAAGCCAGGGGGCAGGAGAGCCCAGAATCGAATCGACAAGTCGGATCGGCGATCGAAAGGCATCTCATCGGCGGACATCGGCAGCCGAGTCGGGAGGAGCCGTGTCGGCGGAAACCGGCAGGCTGGTTGGCAGGCCTCCGCCGCCCCGGAGCGCTCCGCGGCGAGGCGCAGAGTGCTCGGCAGCATCCCGAGGCAAGAGGTAAGTCGGGCCTGCCTCCCTACGGGGGGGATTCGGGACGAAAATGACAGAACAAGCAAAAAGCATGCCAAACATAGCAGCAACAATTGCTCAAAAAGAGTCCCGGGACAATTTCTGACTAATTTTGAATAGTCCTCCTGTAGAGTGACAGGCCCGAGTTAAGGCAAGAGCCTCTGATGGGACCTCCTCGAGAAGCATAATGACCCAGGAAGGGGGCACGCCCGAAACAGGTACGGAAATACCTGACAGTCAATGTTGTCCATAACCGGCGGCGGCCCTGTCTGGCAGGCAAGATCCTGCCTCGAATGGACAGCGCCCGCGGCGACGCCGACAGCGAGTCCTGCTCAAAAGAAACAAGAAGTGGGTGGTGTCGGTCTTCGTTTCCAGCGTTTCCCTACCCATGGAGTGGCCTCCTAATGGGATATATTTGTCCGTATGTTCTGGCTTTGCGTCTCCCCCCCCCCCTTTCCATAGTTTCGCAGATGCTCCTTGGGGATCGACGATGCATTGTGTCTGTGCGTGTTTTTCCCTCCTGCCATACCGAAGATCAGCGCGCGCACGCCTTGTCCCCAGCGCAGTCTTCCTCCGAGCCGTTGCCCGGGTCCGCCGCGTCCTGGCGGCCCGGCGCAGGGGGCGGCCGAAGGCGAGACTCGGCGCGCGGCCGCACCGCCGCGGACCAGATGGCCGGGGGGGGAGGAGGAGGAGGAGGAGGAGGAGGAGGAGGAGGAGGAGGAGGAGGAGGAGGAGGAGGAGGAGGAGGAGGAGGAGGAGGAGGAGGAGGAGGAGGAGGAGAAGAGGGAGAGGAGGAGGAGGAGGAGCAGGAGCATTAGGAGGACGGAGAGGGGGAGGAGGAGGAGGAGGAGGAGGAGGAGGAGGAGGAGGAGGAGGAGGAGGAGGATTTCTTTGCCATCAACGGCTGCCAGCTGCCCACGTACACCCTGGGGGGCGGGCGATTCCACCCCAGGGGAAAGAAATGAAACACACAACACATAAGCTGAGAGCACAGGGTCAGAACCTATTCTGAACCATGGCTCGCAGAAGGCGACGCCGAACCGACGGAAACCGCGAGAAACAGAGCAGTATCCTCCTCTTCATCATCTAGCCTTCGGATCTCCAGCTGGGCTTGGTCCCCAAGCTCGACCTGGCACTCTGGCTCTCCCTCGGTGGGTCCAGCAAGGCTGGGTGTTCTGTGCAACCGACGGCCACCCTCCACCTCCAGACGAGCATGAAGGCGCCCTTCAGAGCGCTGGCCCCCAAGTTCCACCTGGCACCTTGGCACAGGGGGGGGGGGGCGCAACAGCATGCGCCTGAAGCGCATACATCGGGCATAAAGTGTCCACGTCTATTGTGACCCCACGCTTCTTGACCGAAGGGTGGAGCCCGCGTTGGAGTTCGGACCACGGGTTCATGTGCGTAGCGACCTTCTGAGGCTCACACTGCTTGCCAAGGTTGGCAACCCGAGCGCCAGAGGTCATATAGCTGCATATTTGGCACATGCACAAGATAAACCCGCCGGAACAGCCGACTACAATACAACGGTGGCCGATGGCTCGCAAAGCCTGAGGCTGCACTCGTAAGGACAGGGAGCACGCTCCACCCACAGGGGGTGAGCTTGGCTTGCCTCGACGCCCGCGCAAACACTCGCAGCACTGGCAAAAAAGAGCCGACCCAGCACCATTTATGGGGCGGGCGCTGAGGAGTAGAAACAGGTTTGGGCGGATCAGGCGTGCGCTCCACACCCGGACCCATAACAAGGCGAGGCCAGGACGGCAACAGGTTGGCCGCCAAAACGCCGACAACCTTCGCAACCGAAATGTCCTGATCGATCATCTCCGCATACTTTGGATCCGGAGAGGGGTGCGAGGCCACCGCGAGCTTGGCCGAGGCGTCGACGGCGCAGTTACCTTCGCAGCATTAACGCGCCCAGTCATCTTCGCACGAGCTGAGGTCCTGGTGAGCCCTCACTTCCCTGACAGAGCACTGGTGTGCAAAGGGCCTACAAAATTGGGCAAACCCCGAAAATGTACGCTTGGGAAAGCACTGGGCGTCAAATGGCAAAGCGTGGAAATCAATGCAACTCTGGCAATCCAGGAACAGCTCGCTAGGGCCATCTGATCACTGACAAGCGACGCTGTATGCATAAAACTCGGTCGCCTGGGGCGTCTGGGGACAAGGTGCCCAGACTGGCCCCCGAACCCTGAGTTTCTCGAGACCTGTGGCACGACACCAAAAACTGAAGGCCCAACCAGCGCGGTTAAGCTCCGATATGACACGTCTCGTGCAGGATCCGCCGGCGAAAATATCACCCTGGACGTCGGTATTGAGATCTCCGGCTTCTCCAACCCACTCCACCACGATGCCCCCTGACGAAACAGGCCCAGGAACATCATCTCCAGGATACGGGAAGACCCCGTAGCAAGCCAGGGCATCATCAGCAACAGCAGCAAGTCTGCGGACTTCAGGCTTGACAAGATCAGCACGAAGTTCTTCGACCGCCTCGCACTCCCACAGATGATGCCTTGAAGTGTCGGGCGCGGCGAGGCACAACTGGCACAAGTTGTTGATCTTATAGCCTAGACTGACAGCTCGCGTACACGGCATCACAAAACGAAGCACGAACGCAACCCTTCTGGAACAGAGTGAAACGCCCAGAATTCAGAAGATGAAGGGTGCCATCCGCACAAGCACGCTTAGAAAGGTTCAGACGGGCCCCCAAACCCCACTCCAAGCCCCTCAAAACAGTTTTTTTCAGCAAAACCTTGACCAAAGAGGGCGAAAAAACAGCGAGGGAGACCCTGTGACCCTGATCCGTGAGCAGAACCGCAAACGAAGGCATACTCCACGAAATTCTCTCGCAAGACTTTCTCAGAGCAGAAATAGGGCCGGACACGTTACGCCACAGCGGGGATTCGCCCGAAAATCCGGCCTCCCAGGCAACACGGAGCTCAGGGAGAGGAATAGAGTGAGGGTACAACCGAAGATGGGAGGTCCAGACTTCCTTGGACCACCGAGTGATAGGCGCCACGCTCGCCAGCCAGCACGGGTCCTGGTAAGCCAGAAACAAACAAGTGAGACTACGGCCCTTGGCCGAGGGCTGAAGGATGGAGCCAGCCTGGCGGCGGAGGTTGAGAAGCTCGCAGTCGGTAACCCCATGGACGTCAGCACCGAAAAGATTAGACGCCATGGAGCCGGAAGCAAAAACCTTCCGCGCAACGCGGCCTCCAATGGTCGGGCGAAGCCCCGAAAGCCTGCCACAGAAACCTTTCGATTTGTGTTCCCGGGCCTTGGCCTTGCTAGACCTCCCCTTCCCGGGCCTTGGCCTTGCTAGACCCCCTCCCCTTCCTCGGGAATCTGCCGGCGCAGTCGTCAACACCTAAGTTGGCTGCACTGCTCACGAGAGGGCCGGCCAGACCGCCCAGCCGTCGGCCGAGCGCTCTGCCCAGATCCAGCGACGAACAAAGTAAAGAGCGCTTGCCAGGGTCGTCCGACACCTTAGCTCCCACTCCAACCTCCAAAGCATCGTGAAGCGCAACGACAGCTGGCGGAAGATGAGTGAGAATGTACTCCTTAGAGCCCGTGGCCGAAAGACCAGAATCGTCAATATAAAGTTTGAAATGGACCTGGGCAGGGAACGACAACTTATCTAGAGCAATGAGAGCGTAAACCCGGATCAAGCTGGTAGCGAAACTGCACCCCGCCACAATTCCCCGCCCAGCCCAATAAGGGCCATCCACGAAACCAACCAGCCGAAACCATCTGGCCTGAAGGTACATGGACACAGCCAGGTACGCAACTCCGAGGGGGAATTGAAGTTGGCGACAACGAGAAAGGAGCTCACGGAGGTCGATCGTTTCGTAATACTTGCAAAGATCGAGCAAGACCGTCGCCGCCTCCTTGCTGGCCAGGGTGCTGGATTCGGCACGGAGCGCCTGCCTCCAGACCACGTCTTGGGCCCCCTCGAAGGGCCCAGCCGCGAAAAAAGGACGGGCAAAACGCGTTTCCCATTCCTGGGCCAACGGCCGCCGGACGCGGCCATAGGCCCGATACACGGCACAGAAATTCCCAATCGGTCTGAACCCGACCGAGGCCTTGGGAATGAGGGACAACAGAATGATGGCAATCTGACGGGGAAGCATCGCAGAGAGCTCCATGACAGCAAACAAATAAATGAGTGACGTGAGGGTCGAATCACTCATCATATCGAAGTGTCGCATATGGAACCCGTCAGTGGCAACCGAAGTGTTTTCCTTAAATCCCCTGGAAAACGCACGAACGGCGGCAATAGGCACCAGAGGCAGCTCTGGCAGCGGACCGTCATGCCAGAACCAAATGTCAGCACTGCCATCGCCCCAAAGATCGGCAAACCTCCTACTTTCGGTCTGGAGCAACGACAAAGGATCGCACACGACATCCCCATCCAAGCTCAGAGTCGTGGTGGGGGTCCATTTCGTGGCCCCCTTGGCCACCAAATGGGCCCTCCGAGCCCCCCGATCAGCCCGGTACAGGATCCAGTCCCGAAAAGCTTTGGAAGCCGATTTACGGGCATGGGCCTCAACAGTCCCCATAGCGACCTGGAAGGACCCGTGGAGACCCTCAAATCGTTCCAACCAGGCACCTTCCATGACCTCGTACATGGGCAGCTCCAGGATGAAAAAGGCCAGCTGGTCCAGAAAACAAGCTTGATGACCTAAGCTGCTGACCATCTGAGCCGAAGGCTGCTGCAAGGATCCGAGCACCGCGCTAATGCCGCGCTGGTTGCCGTCAGCCCAGTGGCCACGGAAGTCCCCGAACTGCGACGCGAGCCACTTGCACGCAAAAAGCTCGGAACACGGCACTTGCTGCACAGGTGGCAAAATAGGTTTCCAAAATAACTGGGCTGCCTTACCCCTGGCCCCCCAGCAAGGCAGCGAAACCCCCGTCGCCGCGGCAACTTCCCTTTCAGCACAGTTGGCCCACATCTTGTAGGCCTTGTCCAGCTTAGCCTGGACATCCGAAAAATCATTGCGCCTCGCCGAGAGCTTAGCCGCATCGATGAGGGACGGAAGATGCACGGCCTCAGGGGTAGGAGGCACCAGACAAACACAGGGACGGCCAGAAAGGGAAGCGGCGGAGGTTGCCTAAAAGCCAGACACTTAAGCCTACCGAGGTGGGGGTGCAGAGTGACCTGGACAGGGTAGTGGGGGGGCAAATTGGTGACGCGCACTGGCGCCACCGAAGCAACAGCTTTAGCCACCCCGGGACTGGCTAAGAAAAAATCATACTGCTTGAGGCCAGCCGTGCTCCGACAAGTATGTTCCCCCGTAGCGAGGGTCCGAATCTTGACGGACTCGTGGGCCAAGACTCCAGAAGAAGCGAGGAGGGAAGGCTCCATGTTGAAATCGCCCCCCACAAAAAACTGCAAGCCCACGGCGCCCCCCAAAGAAACACACGAGGACAAGAGGGAGGCATTTCGCTCTGAGAGGTCCTCGCAGTCGTAGAAATAGGCCGAGACCACGAGCAGAGGAGGGGCTCCCGGGAGTTCAACAACTCCAGCAACAGCACGAGCTCGAACAAGTTCGTGACCAGATGGAAGTGCGCGGAGGCCGAGCCCGCTACGCACAAGCACAGCCACGC